TAGTAAATAATTATAATTGTTAGTAAATAATAAAAGAAATATAAATTATTAGATTTTTTTTACCCTTAAATTGGTTTTAATATTTAAATTGAAAATAATAATATAATATAAAATACAATAAAAATAATATAATATAAAATATAATTTAATTTCAAGAAATTTAACTTTAAACACAAAGATGTGAAAAGGGTTCAGATTATTGGCTCAAACCTTTCATAAGAGATTCATATTGGTATATGAATGGATTATGAATGACTCATGTTAGGAGTGTAAAGTTGCCACAACATCTCAAATTAGTGTTAGATACATATGTCTTGGTTATAAGTTTTGGAAACCTATTTAAGTCCACACACAATATCATATCTGATACGATAAAACAAACATTTCCAATACTTTCAAATACTTTCCAGATATGTTGTGGCAACCTAAAATTGTTTGCTGGGCACCAATCTTACAACCCCAGAGTAGGCACAAATATACACACAATTACTTAACTTAGTGGTTACAGGAATTCAAGGTAAGGAAAGGAAGGAGAAGGAGAAAAGGTAGAGGGGTGCAGAGCAGCTCAGAGGAGATCTTGACACCACGAACGCCAGCCAGAGAGAGTGAGCAGCAGCCAGCAGCCTCAGCTCTCTCCAGCCGTTGCCGGGGAGACAACAGCTGATCGTGCCGCTTGTAAACATTACCACTCTTCCTCGACGTAAAACTGGTTACTTTAATAGTTCTAAGAATAGTTAATAATTACTACATGGTTATACTTATTCCACAACAAGCTCACGAGTCTGAATGCTCTGTGAGAAACAAGATTCGTCTTACGTCTGGCAAGGAAGGTAGGAATGAACCTCGACAAGCGCACCAAATAATAAGAGTAATTTATTTAGCTCAATTTGACCTCTGGTTTCCACTGAGGAATCCAGGGTCGTAACAACAGGTAAAAAACATGCTCTTTTTTTAACAACTGTTTTTTCATGTGAAGAAAATCAATAAAATCTTTTACCAATTGCTCTGAAATTTTGATGCAATGTTGCATTCGAATACACGCATGTTTTTGTATACCTACTATATACATGTAACACCTGTGACAGGTAAAAACATGCTTTTTTGGAAAAACAATGCCATCTGTTTTATGTAATTGCAACACATGCTGTAATCTCCAAAAGTTCTTCAGCGATTGCTTTGAAATTTTGACACAGCGTTCCATTCGAATGCATGCACGTTTTTATATACCTATTAAATAGATGCCACACCTGCGACAGGTAAGAACAGGCTTTTTTTAAAAAAGCACCATCTGATGCAAGTAAAAGCAACACATGTTATGCTAAATATGTTATGATTCCAATTCAATGTTTCCGATTGCATTAATAAATTAAATTTTCATAGATTTCGATTTATTTTAATTTTGATTTAACTATTTTATGTGACATTGCATTGGAATTGAGCTGTGTTATTTACCATATCATTCATTTCATTAGTATAGTTTTTTTTACTTTTTTTAAATTTTTTAACTGTTCTTTTTTTCTGTGATGGGAACACCAGATCATTTGATGTTCCCATTTTTCTGATGGGAACAGCAGCTCATATGGGAACACATCGGACGAGAGAGTGGATTATTGTGGGGAGGGTGACGGGACGGGAGTGGCTGATGGTGGGGAGGACAAGGGGATGGGGAAAAGGGTAATGGTTGAAAGGATAAGGAAACAGGGGGGAGTGGATGAGGAGATGTGAGAGTGGAAAATGAAGGAGAGGACAAGGGGACAGGGGAGTGGGCGATGGGGGGGGGGGGAGAAGGGGGGATGGGGTAGAGGGAATGGTGGGGGAGGACAAGCGGACAAGGGAGTGGGGAATGGTTGGGAGGACGAGGGAACGGGGGAGGGCGGCTGTGTTGTTGAGTTACAGCAATGTGTGGGCCGGGTACAGCTAGTCTATATAAATAAAAATGTAAATGTTCGTTTGCTCACAGTTACAGCCCCGCTCCTGTGCCAGGTAAGTCCACTACGGGCTCACCATAGCCCGTGCTACGTGGAATTTTTTGTTCTGAGTAGCTGAATCTTAAGCAACAAACATCGTTCGTTTGCTCAAAATCGCTAATCTCCACAAGTTCTTCACCGATTGCTTTGAAATTTTGGCACAATGTTCCATTCGCCTACGAGCATGTTTTTATATACATACTATATAGTTTTTTTTATATACATACTATATAGATGTCATGTTAGCGGTCACTTGTCAGTCACAGTGAGAGGGTGTGTTAGCTGGAGCTTCGACTGTAGTAATATTATCATATCAATAATGGAAGGTGTAGTGAAGGAACTTATGAAACTAGTTGGAGCTCTGAGAACAGAGTTGGATTCCCTACGGGAGGAGGTACGACAGCTAAAAAATATCAGGGAGAAACAAAGCAGGAGACCAGTATTAAAATGACCTTGTCTTGGAAAGTCGTAAAGGACAGGGCTCTTAAGAAGACTTTGACAAAGCCGCCAACAGATATCCTAAGGACTTCTAACTTATTTACCATGTTGGAGGATGAGTGCTGTGGTGAGCCTGCAGTTTGTTCGAAGAGGAAAGCAATGAAGTGCAGGTCCCTCAAAGTGCTCAGAAAGTAAAGGAAGTAACTAAGCGAACTTTGGTTGTGGGAGATTCCCAGGTGAGGTATTTGGATAGATCTTTTTGTGCCAGAGATAGGAGAAACAGGTTAAGGGTTTGCTATCCGGGAACTGGAATTGGTGATATTGTTGGCAACATGAATGACATTAACACTGGAAATGGGAACAAACCACTTTATTTGAATTAGTGCAGGTGGAAATTATGTTGGACGAGTTAGGAGTGAGGAACTGATACAGTGGTTTAAGACAGCCATAGAATTAGTTAAGAGCAAGGGAGGAATCCCGATCATATGTGGTATTCCTCCATGAAAGGGAGTTGGAAATGAATGGTTGTCGAAGGCATTTGGTGTCAATTGCCGGCTGGAAAAATATTACAAATCAAATGCAATATCTTTCAAAGATAACTGGGAATACTTCTATGGAAGAAATTAAATGTATGCTCAGGATGGGGTTGTTGTTGCGAACTCGTTGGAACCAGTGGCTGGAGGCATTTGTTTGGGTTTTGGTTTAAGCTGTTAGTAGATAGTGGTATGGGAATTGATATGGAAAAAGGAGGTAATAAAAGTATGTGTTTTTTTGGGAACAAATTGGTAAAATGACCAGGGAAAGAGATAGACCTCAAAATAACAATACACTTAGGGTATATTACACTAACAGTAGTGTAATATACATAATACTGAACTGGTGAAATTGAACAAGTTTTCATTTATTGCATATTTGGGCAATATGCTCCCTTAAAGAATGCAAAGAGAAGCGTTGCGAGCCATTATCTACCATATTTAGTAAATCATTAGTCAGGCAGACTGCCAGAGTTATGGAAGGTTGCTAATGTGATACCAATTTTTAAGAAAGGAGATAGATCACTTGCGTCAAACTATCTGCCAATTAGCCTTACGTCTATTGAGGGAAAGTTACTTGAGTCAATAATTGCAAATACTATTCGTCTTCATCTTGAAAAAACATAAATTAATAAACGATTCACAACATAGTTTTACAAATGGCCGTTCATGTTTAACAAATTTGCTATCATTTTACTCCAGCATAGTTGAGGTAGTTTATAGTGGAAAGGTTTGTGATGTTGAGTACCTTGACTTTAGCAAAGCTTTTGATACAGTGCCAGATGAAAGACTGATTAAAAAGATAGAGGCTCATGGTATTGGGGGTGGTATATTAAGTTGGATAAGGGCATGGCAATACAAAAAACACAGAGTTAGTATTAATGGGGTTATGTCAGAGTGGGAAATGTTGTAAGTGGTGTGCCCCAAGGTTCGGTCCTGGGACCTCTGTTATTCATAAAATATATAAATGATTTAGATTCAGGTTTGAGCAGCAATAGTTGCAAATTTGGCGATGATACAAAAATCGCTAGGGAAATAAGCACAGAAAGGGGACTCACTATCACTTCTAGATGATCTAAATAGAGTTTTGAAATGGTCAACAGATTGGCAGATGCAGTTTAATGTTGACAAATGAGGGTTTTGAGGGGTAGGTAATGATGATAGAGTTACAAGATACGAGCTATATAGTGATGAGATAGCAAAGTCGAATCTGCATGAAGAAGGCAAACAAACGATAGCAAAATATCCAAACTGCGGGGATACACATCACGCCTGGAACAAATGATGTCCAGAAAGGGTAAAACGAATACTAGCTTTCGGATCAACCCAGCAACCAATAGTCACAACTTCTAGACCACAATCGACCAGACCCTCGATAAAAAGCCAGTGGAACACTCCTCGGCAAGTCCGAATAAATGAAGATCAGCAACAGTCTAACGCACCAATTCCTTCTAGTCTGAGCAAGAACAGGACCTCCAATAACTGGAGAAAACAAAGAAGCACTACTCCACAAGGCAACAGCAACAGAATTAATCAGGGCAGCAAAACTAATATACCTGCTATTGCCTCCAAGACCTCTCAAACATAAATAATGATCCCTACATCATCAAATGCCCCAGTAGCTGGATGTAGCAAAGACGCTTCAACCCAACCAAGAGTCTCCTCACCCACCAAGAAAAAAGTCTCCACTGCAGCCAAGAAGACACAAGCCGTCAGGAAATCAGCACTGTAAAAACTACCATGGACTCAATGATGCCATTATAATGAAATAATGGACAATCTCAACATTATACAATAGAATACTCAAGGATTCAAAAACAAAGCACAAACTCTCAGAGCAGTGCTTCTCAACGACAACATTAATATTGCTCTACTTCAAGAAACACTCACCTGGACTGAAAGAAATTTCAATATCCCAGGATATCAAGGTTTCCACTGCCCTATGGCACAAAGTGGCACCAGAGGCATTTCAATTCTAGTAAGAAATCATATCAATGCCACGGCAATCACAGACCTGCCCAACTGTGGCGAGAACGTCGAAATTATGGGAGTTAATCTCACTATGAGGAACTCAGTGCTGTCCATCTTCAATGGAGACGTTAGTGTTCATGTAGACGTTAGTGATAATGGAGATATTAGTGATCATGGAGACGTTAGTGATCATGGAGACGTTAGTGTTCATGTAGACGTTAGTAATAATGGAGACGTTAGTGTTCATGTAGACGTTAGTGATCATGGAGACGTTAGTGTTCATGTAGACGTTAGTGATAATGGAGACATTAGTGATGTTGTAATCCACAAGCTAGTAGGAATTATTAGCTAGAGGATCATTACAACAACACTTAACGAATGATGATTGGAAGTACATGTGAAGTAGACAAACTATGGATCACATATCTAAGAAAGGTCAATGGATTAAGACCGAAGCTGTTTAGCCAAATTAATAATTCCTGGAAAGAGGAATTATTCTTTGTCAGGCTTCTAGGATCAAGGTTACCGCTCTAGGGATAAGGTTAATCGGATTATACCTTCCTTAAGAAGCAGAGTGAAATGGTTGAGGTAGATGCTGACTGGAGTCAGTCTGATTGTGGGAGTTGAACTGGCAAGTCCTCTGGATCCCCGTTTGCGGCAGCAGTGAAGTGTAGCAGACAGCTATGAGAGAACCTGATGTGATCTTAGTGACCAAGTTAAGTCTGCAGTATGTGAGTATTGAATGAAAGACTAACCGGGTGTGGAGCGTTGTAGTAATCATTCCGTATTAGGGACTTAGGCGGAAGTTACGAGTGTGGGTGGTGATCGCGGAGGTCAAGTGGTCTATGGGTATTGGAAGTGTATTGACCTAATAGAGTATGTTAATTAATATAGTATTATTTGTCAGAGTCTATTCTTTGTAATTAAATGACAAAACCCGACGGCCTTTAAATACCTTCCATATGTTCATTCATTGTGTTCCAGTACAAACCTAGTGGTACGCCTCAAGGGTCTGGTGTGTGTAGGAGTACACGGTGGTAGTAACGGTTGCTAAGGCAAGGTGTTATGTGTTGTGTAATCGCTGTGTTCGGAATGAACCGGAGTTCAGCGTCACGACATATTTGGTGGCAGCGCAAACAGGTTTGGAACACTTTGAGAGATGAAGGAAGTGTGTTACTGGTTTAGTTGGTGAGGGAATGTTCGGGAATTGGTAGACGTCGGGTTGTGTTCAGGACGGTGGATATTGGAGTGAGGAAGGGAAGGTGTGTGGGCCAGTGAGTGGCCATAGTGGGGTGTGGGGCCAAGGTGTGTGGCCAAGTGGAGTGGCCACGTTGTGCGGAAGGGAAAGGTCCCCTAAGGGGTGGAAACAGTAGTGTGGGGAACTGATAAGTGACGTTGTTAATGGTGGCTTAAAATTATAAGTGATTCTAGTGAGATTAAGGGACAAGGCCAAGTAAGGTTACTGTATGGCAAAGCGTCAAGCTGGTTCATACACGAGCACATAAGGGGCGAGTAGCCATGCCGAGTACGGGTAGTAATAGGGGCGCCAGTGGCCAGGCCACAAGTAATGTCGGTCAGGGTGAGAGTGGTGATAACACGGCGGCGTTGCTTACGGCGCAGGCGGCAGCGTCAGAGACAATTGGGCAGGTTGCACAGTGGTTGAAAAATGTGTTGAGCACGCATGAGACGACTAATGCAGGACCTAAGGTATATGGAGACATACCCACGTTTTGGGGCGCCAAACGGGATTCGAAAGGTCAGTTACTGACGGATATTAGAACATTTTTTTTTGCTCTAGAGAAGGGGACTAGTGTGGGGTCATGGTCGGATCAGGCAAAGATTGCATTGGCATATTCCAAGGTGAAAGGGGAAGCAAAGACCCTGCTCAACTCGGCGGAAATTAGAGAAATAAATAGTTATAGCGAGTTTAAGCAGGAACTGATAGATCATTACGATGTGCAGCACGATGCAGTAGAACTAAAGGCTCAGTTAGCTGCACTTAAACGAGAACCAGGGGAACAATTAAGGGCGTTTGGCCATAGAATAAGACTCTTGGGTGATGTGATTGAGCGGACGGAAACGCAGTTCACGGGGGTAGTAAGAGATTCTATGCAACGGAGTGTTTTTTTCGGTGCATTACCGCGGGAAAGTGCGTTACACTGCAGGGAAGCTAAGTCTTTTAAGGAAGCGGTGATACATGCAGTGTTTTGGGCGGAGAATAGCCCGACACATAAACTGACAGAGGATGACATTTTCAAAGAAGTGTCCCCTAAGGAACAGGCAAATCTTGCAGACACGCAAGAGAGACAGGCTCAGCTCTGGGCCCCAGTAGCTCAGCCAGTGGAGGATGGACCCGCGGCGGGGGTCACACATTCCAAGGGCAAGGGGCGAGGTGCTCCTCGACGTAACAATAATAAGGGCTGGGAGCCAAGGGTGTTCCAGGGACACAATACGAGTGGTGTGTCGTGGGGACCCCATCAGGGTACTCGCGGGCAGCGAGGAGGTTATAATCAAGGGGCACGTGGAGGCAGGTTCACTCCTGCTCCACCACGATACACGCCTGCTCAGGGAGCAACAGGAATGTACCACCAGAACCAGGGTACCGGTAGAGGGTATCCCCGGGGAACGGGGTACACTGCAGGTAAACACGAGCCAGACCGACCTAAGCAGACAAAAGTGTGTAAGCTGTGTGGTGACGGTAGTCACTTGGCCTGGCAGTGTAAGCTTTTTGTTCCGCCTAATTACCCAGTGTGTACAGTAGGGGGTGGCGGACAGTGGTTGTGCACCGTCGGGTCGGGTCATCCCATAAAGGTGCATTTACGGTTAAAGGGCACTATCTATACAGCCTTGGTGGACACCGGTGCTTCCGTGTCCATCATGAGTCGTAGCGTGTTAGGATCAGACGTCAGGCTGATACCGAACAACAGGAGATTAACGGCGTTGGGGGGTAATGCGTTGCGGGTGTTGGGTGAGACAACTGTGGATTTCCAGCTAGAAGATAGATGGTTTAAACATAGTTTTGTAGTAATACAGGATATAGGGCTGAAACATACCAACATTATCCTGGGAATTGATTTCCTCGAAAAATACTCATGTACCATAGCGTTCAGCGCAAGGGGGAATAAATTGGTATGTGGGGGTCAAGCGGTAGACGTTAACAAGGTGAGTAGAGAAGGAGTAGCAGTAGTGAGGGGTAACTGTGGTAACTCGGCTGGGGACCAGAATATACAGTGGGCAGTCACGGTACCCAAGGATGTCACCATTCCGGGAGAAACATCCTTAGTGATTAAAATGGCATGTAAAGCCAAGGGAGTAGACGTTGTGCAAATTGAGCCATTGGATAATCCAGCAGGGTTGGTGATAATGGAGACTATTGAAGACATAAATGAAGGGGTAATTCGGTTGAGGGTTTTTAATCCCTCTCGGTGGCCAGTCACCTTGAGTAAGCATGCACAGGCAGCGTGGGCGCACCCTGTGGAGGAGATTATTGCAGCCATGTCAGTAAGTCAGAGTGAGGGCGATGAGGATAGAATGGATAAATTAATGGGAATAATGGATAGGATGTACATGGAAAGGGAGGTTAAGGAAGCCTTAAGGGGCTTAGTCAGGGAGTTCCCGGATGTTTTTGCGTTGAGAGGGGAACCCCCAGGGTGCATTACTCAAGGAGCACATAGGATTGACGTAGAGGGTGCACATCCAGTATATACGAGAGCATATAGCATACCAGTAGCACACCAGAGGGAGGTGAAAGAGGAGATAAGCCAGCTAAGGGAGCATGATATCATTGAACCATCCAGTTCACCGTGGCACAGCCCTCTCGTAGTAGTCAGGAAAAAGAATGGGGGAGTGAGGTTATGCGTAGATTTCCGCAGAATAAACAAGCTGACGAAGGACGAAGCATACCCATTACCTAACATACAGGACACATTGACACACTTGAAGGGTACACAATATTTTACCACATTAGACCTACTCAGTGGGTATCACCAGATACCGCTGGAGGAAGAGTCGAGGGAAATCACAGCGTTTAGTGCGTGCAACAACGAGCTCTGGCAATATAAACGACTTCCTTTCGGGTTGAAGTCAGCACCTGCTGTGTTCAGTAGGCTAATGATGAGTGTGTTATCGGGGTTGATAGGTCCCACAGCGTTGCTGTACCTCGATGACGTAATCGTCCTGGGAAAGTCATTAGAGGAGCACATGCATAATTTGAGGAAACTCTTGCTAAGGCTGAGGTCACACAACCTCAAAGTGAATTTCGAAAAATGCAGTTTTTTTGGAGAATCGGTAACATTCCTGGGTCATACAGTGGGCCGGATGGGTATCAGTCCATTGCCAGATAAAACCAGGGATATTCAAGAGTTCCCAGTTCCACAGAACAAGAAAGAGTGCAAATCTTTCCTGGGGTTGGTTAGCTATTATCGGCGATTTATTAAAGATTTTTCAAAAATTGCAAGACCATTACATCAGATCAGTGGACTTGCAGAGTTCGTGTGGGGGAAGGAACAACAGCAGGCGTTCCCGGTACTGAGGGCTGCTGTCAGCTCTCGCAGTATCTTGGCGCACCCAGACTTTAGCAAACCATTTCTGGTGTATGCGGATGCTTCTGGCGCAGCGATAGGTGGTGTGGTAGCTCAGGTGGATGAGCGAGGACGGGAGCGTCCCATTGCATTTTGTTCCCGAGTACTATGTCCTGCAGAGAGGAACTATAGTACGATTGAGAGGGAAGCGCTAGCGATCACATTCATATTACAACGGAACCGGTACATCTTGCTTGGACATGAAATTTGGCTCAGAAGCGATGACAAACCCCTTAAGTATGTGTTCGAGTCCAAGGAGCCTTGTCAGCGATGGCACGGTGGGTTACCTCGCTCTCAGAGTTTAACATTACAAACTTTGAACATGTACCAGGGAAAAGCAATGTGGTCGCTGACGCGTTGTCAAGGTGTCACAATGTAGCAGTGGTGAGTGAAAGGGGGGAGGAAGATGTGTCGTGGAATGTGAGGGAGTTGATACGAAGTCAGGAAGGTCACCCCCTGTGGGGGGGAGGTAAGGAAGTTTTTGAGGGGTCAGCGTGCGGAGTTGAGGAAGTCACTTCCAGCACCAGTGGATGAGTTTGTGGTTGAAGATGAGGTGTTGTATCATCTTGGTAGGGTTTCGGGTATACGGTCTGAACCAGTATACCAGGCAGTCTTGACACCGGAGTTCCAGAGGACTGCAATGTATCTGTGTCATAACATCCCAGCAGCAGGCCATGGAGGGGAGTCCAAGACGTTGCAGAGGGCACGTCAAAGGTTCTATTGGCCATCCATGGGTAAAGATATCAAGGTCTATGTAGCCTCTTGTGACAGTTGTCTGTGGTACAAGGCACATAGGTTGGGGGCGGAACCTTTGCGTAGGTGGCCGGAGGTGAGTACTCCCTTCGAGAGAGTACACATAGATCTCATTGGGCCGCTACCACAAGCTCATTCAGGGGCGAGGTACATATTTGTAGCAGTGGATGCACTCACACGGTTCACTGTGGTGAGTGCACTCCGTTCTAAGTCGGCAGAGGATGTGACCCAGGCCATGGTGGAAAGTGTGTTAACCAGGTTTGGGGCTCCTCAACAAGTTGTGTCACACCAAGGGTCAGAGTTTATCAATCAAGTATTTCAAAGCATCGCGAGTGTGTATCAATTCAAACATATTCCAGTGCTGGCATATCGACCATCGGCGAATGGTTTGGTTGAAAGACACAATGCTGAAGTAATGTATTCTGCGGCATTTGGCTGCAGATGATGTGCTTGCATGGGATCAGAGTTTGTCGATGGTGGAGTCGGCGCTCAACACGGCGTTCAATAGGTCGGTGGGAGAAACCCCGCATTTTTTGTTGCATGGGTTCGATCCCCGACTTCCGTTCACGACGTTCACAAGCAAGCAACCGCCATGCTGTGCGTTAGACTTTAGAAGTGTTGTCTGTAGGCGAGCAACCAAGGCATTTGACTTGGTGAAACTACATTTAAGAAAGTCGACAGAGGTAGCAGAGGCATATTATAATGCGCGGAACAAGGTCCAAGCAAAGGTGATCAATGAAGGTGATAGGGTATTCGTGAAGCAGATGCACGCTCAGGCAGAAGGTACGTTGGCACCCAAGTTTGTGGGGCCATGTCGGGTAATTAGCAAAAAGAATGCAGAAGTTAAGGTTAAGGTGCTAAACAGAGGGCATGTGTTCTCCTGTCACCCAGACCGCGTCTATACACTGACCGGTCAGGCAAGTGAGGAGCCATACCCTACGGAGAGTGTGCCAGGGGAGAGCACACCAGCGGCTGAGAACATAGGTAGGGGTACGAGGAGTTGGCAATCAAGGGTAGATAACACAGAACAGCCTTCGCAGGACCGGGGACAAAGTCCACAGGCGACGGTGACACATCGCTATCCGACCCGCTCTCGTGGGGTCATGAACACAGAAGGAGCATGGCCATGGTAGTTTTTGTAGAGTGTGGCGTAGTGTGTAGAGTGCGGTGTTGAGTGGTGCATGGGCATGGTAGTTTTGTAGAGTGTGGGGTAGTGTGTAGAGTGTGGTGTAGAGTAGCATGTGTAGTGTTGTACCGTTTGGACGCCCGGTATGGAGTGTGGTGTTGTGGAGTACATAGCGGCACAGGAGGCCAGGTGGTGGTGGGTACGGTGAGTATCGGTGTAATGAGGTCAGGTGCGTCAGGACGCAGAGCCTGGCTGTTGAGAGACGTGGTGTTATAATGAGGTCATCAGTGGTTGGGTTGACCAGAGGTGATGGTGTGTCGGAGTGGGTAAGTCTTATGGATAAGATTATAATGTAGAATTTCAAAATTTCAGGTGTTGGTGGTTGCAGTGGACGAGCGAAGTAGATATACTAATTTCTTAATAAGTTGTTACAGGAATCTCGCTAGAGGCGAGCCAGTGGCAGTATGATGCTTTAGTGACATTAGTTGTGAAATGATTTTAATGTGGTATTTATTGTGATAATGTATGTGTATGTATATACTGTATATTACCTCATCGGCACCATTACTGAGTGTTAGGCTTGAGAAGGTCCCCCGGGATCATGTCACAGAGCTTCAGGTAGAGTAGAAGGGAAGCTATGAGGCTACACTCAGTTATTCTAGAAAAAAAGGGGGAGGAAGTGAAGCCAACGTGACGTTATAGGCGAAATTCGCCCCCTGACATCAAAGCAGGGATAAGGGCCAGCTGCAATGGTTTTGCAGCTGCGCTCAGGCTATATACGGGGAGAGAGTAAGGAGCCGAGGGGGTTATGTAATAATGGGATCGAGCCAGGGGGCTCCGAGGGAATATTTTGCAGGTACAGCGATCGGGAAGGTGTGAATACAGGTGGACACACTGGGAGGATGGGCCTAGACCAGAGAGCTGTGAGATATCTACAGCGTTCTGGGGTTGGTGCCCTGGAACGAGACGTCAGCACAGACCCGAAGGAACATGACCCTGGGGTAGGAATCTCCGTTGCTCTGGAGGCCAGGATCACGTTAGCTCAGAGCAACGATGGGACATTGACAACATTCACCAGGCTGGACAGCCTGGGTTTTGTCTGCGTCATGGAGGATCTATGACCTAGCAACCATGGGACACGAAGACAAGAGAGGTGATGCTGCCAATTGTGGAGGAGGCCAGTGAAACATTGTGTGATCATTGTAAGCCTTATGTCAACAGTACAGGGCAAGATGTTAAATTATAATTAACTTATTACTAAGGATGAAGAACCTTAGATATATATGTGTTGTGTATATATTAATGACTAGTGTCATTTCTGTTTAAGTGCCAGCATTCTGGTCCATGTAATTTTATGGTTATGTTTGTATGTAATTATATGTCAGCAGTTTAGGTATATGTGCATTGTTGGAGATGGGAAAAATTATTACAGACTATTTTACCTGTGCTATGAATTGAATATAATGTATATGTTGGAGAAGTGTTGTGAGCCATGTCGAGGAAAATTTTAATTTATTTCATCGTGTGTATGATGAACTTATTGGATGATTTTTTAGTTGTTCACATATGGTGGGTGCATCCTCCAGGTCCTTGCACTAATGGAACCATTGCAATGATGCATATGGGGACATATGCGTGTTTAAGGAGGGGAGTGGTGTTGTAATCCACAAGTTAGTAGGAATTATTAGCTAGAGGAACATTACTACAACACTTAACGAATGATGATTGGAAGTACATGTGAAGTAGACAAACTATGGATCACATATCTAAGAAAGGTCAATGGATTAAGACCGAAGCTGTTTAGCCAAATTAATAATTCCTGGAAAGAGGAATTATTCTTCGTCAGGCTTCTAGGAACAAGATTACCGCTCTAGGGATAAGGTTAATCGGATTATACCTTCCTTGAGAGGCGGGGTGAAATGGTTGAGGTAGATGGCTGACTGGAGTCAGTCTGATTGTGGGAGTTGAACTGGCAAGTCCTCTAGATCCCCGTTTGCGGCAGCAGTGAAGTGTAGCACACAGCTATGCGAGAACCTGATGTGATCTTAGTGACCAAGTTAAGTCTGCAGTATGTGAGTATTGAATGGAAGACTAACCGGGTGTGGAGCGTTGTAGTAATCATTCCGTATTAGGGACTTAGGCGGAAGTTACGAGTGTGGGTGGTGATCGCGGAGGTCAAGTGGTCTATGGGTATTGGAAGTGTATTGACCTAATAGAGTATGTTAATTAATATAGTATTATTTGTCAGAGTCTATTCTTTGTAATTAAATGACAAAACCCGACGGCCTTTAAATACCATCCATATGTTCATTCATTGTGTTCCAGTAAAAACCTAGTGGTACGCCTCAAGGGTCTGGTGTGTGTAGGAGTACACGGTGGTAGTAACGGTTGCTGAGGCAAGGTGTTATGTGTTGTGTAATCGCTGTGTTCGGAATGAACCGGGGTTCAGCGTCACGACAGTGATCATGGAGACGTTAGTGTTCATGGAGACGTTAGTGATCATGAAGACCTTAGTGTTCATGGAGACGTTAGTGATCATGAAGACGTTAGTGATCATGGAGACGTTAGTGTTCACAGAGACGTTAGTGATCATGGAGACGTTAGTGATCATGAAGACGTTAGTGATCATGGAGACGTTAGTGATCATGAAGACGTTAGTGTTCACAGAGACGTTAGTGTTCATGGAGACGTTAGTGATCATGAAGACGTTAGTGATCATGGAGACGTTAGTGTTCATAGAGACGTTAGTGTCCATGGAGACATTAGTGACCATGGAGACGTTAGTGATCATGGAGACGTTAGTGATCATGAAGACGTTAGTGATCATGGAGACGTTAGTGTTCACAGAGACGTTAGTTTTCATGGAGACGTTAGTGATCATGAAGACCTTAGTGTTCATGGAGACGTGAGTGATCATGAAGACGTTAGTGATCACAGAGACGTTAGTGATCATGGAGACGTTAGTGATCACGGAGTCGTTAGTGATCATGGAGACGTTAGTGATCACGGAGTCGTTAGTGATCATGGAGACGTTAGTGATCATAGAGACGTTAGTGATCATGGAGACGTTAGTGATCATGGAGACGTTAGTGTTCACAGAGACGTTAGTGTTCATGGAGACGTTAGTGATCATGGAGACGTTAGTGATCATGGAAACATTAGTGATCATGAAGATGTTAGTGATAATGAAGATGTTAGTGATCATGGAGACGTTAGTGATCACAGAGACGTTAGTGATCATGGAGACGTTAGTGATCACAGAGTCGTTAGTGATCATGGAGACGTTAGTGATCATAGAGACGTTAATGATCATGGAGACGTTAGTGATCATGGAGACGTTAGTGATCATGGAGACGTTAGTTATCATAGAGACGTTAGTGATCATGGAGACGTTAGTCATCATGAAGACGTTAGTGACCATGGAGACGTTAGTGTTCACAGAGACGTTAGTGATCATGGAGACGTTAGTGATCATGGAGACGTTAGTGATCATGAAGACGTTAGTGATCATGGAGACGTTAGTGATCACAGAGACGTTAGTGATCATGGAGACGTTGTGTTCAAGAAGACGTTAGTGATCATGGAGACGTTAGTGATCATGGACACGTTAGTGTTCATGAAGACGTTAGTGATCATGGAGACGTTAGTGTTCATGAAGACGTTAGTGATCATGGAGACGTTAGTGATCATGGAGACGTTAGTGTTCATGGAGACGTTAGTGTTCATGAAGACGTTAATGATCATGGAGACGTTAGTGATCATGGAGACGTTAGTGATCATGGAGACGTTAGTGATCATGAAGACGTTAGTGATCATGGAGACGTTAGTGATCATGGAGACGTTAGTGTTCATGGAGACGTTAGTGTTCATGGAAACGTTAGTGATCATGGAGACGTTAGTGTTCACAGAGACGTTAGTGATCATGGAGACGTTAGTGATCATGGAGACGTTAGTGATCATGGAGACGTTAGTGATCATGAAGACGTTAGTGTTCACAGAGACGTTAGTGATCATGGAGACATTAGTGATCATGAAGATGTTAGTGATCATGAAGATGTTAGTGATCATGGAGATGTTAGTGATCATGGAGACGTTAGTGATCATGGAGACGTTAGTGATCATGGAGACGTTAGTGATCATGGAGACGTTAGTGTTCATGGAGACGTTAGTGATCACGGAGTCATTAGTGATCACGGAGACGTTAGTGATCACGGAGACGTTAGTGATCACGGAGACGTTAGTGATCATGGAGACGTTAGTGATCATGGTGACGTTAGTGATCATGGAGACGTTAGTGATCATGGAGACGTTAGTGATCATGGAGACGTTAGTGTTCACAGAGACGTTAGTGATCATGGAGACGTTAGTGATCATGGAGACGTTAGTGATCATGGAGACGTTAGTGATCATGGAGACGTTAGTGATCATGGAGACGTTAGTGATCATGGAGACGTTAGTGATCATGGAGACGTTAGTGATCATGGAGACGTTAGTGATCATGGAGACGTTAGTGATCATGGAGACGTTAGTGATCATGGAGACGTTAGTGTTCACGGAGACGTTAGTGATCACGGAGTCGTTAGTGATCACGGAGACGTTAGTGATCACGGAGACGTTAGTGATCATGGAGACGTTAGTGATCATGGAGACGTTAGTGATCATGGTGACGTTAGTGATCATGGAGACGTTAGTGATCATTGAGACGTTAGTGATCATGGAGACGTTAGTGATCATGGAGACGTTAATGTTCATGGAGACGTTAGTGTTCATGGAGACGTTAGTGATCATGGAGACGTTAGTGTTCACAGAGACGTTAGTGATCATGGAGACGTTAGTGATCATGGAGACGTTAGTGATCATGGAGACGTTAGTGATCATGGAGACGTTAGTGATCATGGAGACGTTAGTGATCATGGAGACGTTAGTGATCATGAAGACGTTAGTGTTCACAGAGACGTTATAGTGATCATGGAGACATTAGTGATCATGAAGATGTTAGTGATAATGAAGATGTTAGTGATCATGGAGACGTTAGTGATCATGGAGACGTTAGTGATCATGGAGACGTTAGTGATCATGGAGACGTTAGTGTTCATGGAGACGTTAGTGATCACGGAGTCGTTAGTGATCACGGAGACGTTAGTGATCACGGAGACGTTAGTGATCATGGAGACGTTAGTGATCATGGAGGCGTTAGTGATCATGGTGACGTTAGTGATCATGGAGACGTTAGTGATCATGGAGACGTTAGTGATCATGGAGACGTTAGTGTTCACAGAGACGTTAGTGATCATGGAGATGTTAGTGATCATGGAGACGTTAGTGATCATGGAGACGTTAGTGATCATGGAGACGTTAGTGATCATGGAGACGTTAGTGATCATGGAGACGTTAGTGATCATGGAGACGTTAGTGATCATGGAGACGTTAGTGATCATGGAGACGTTAGTGTTCACGGAGACGTTAGTGATCACGGAGTCGTTAGTGATCACGGAGACGTTAGTGATCACGGAGACGTTAGTGATCATGGAGACGTTAGTGATCATGGTGACGTTAGTGATCATGGAGACGTTAGTGATCATGGAGACGTTAGTGATCACGGAGACGTTAGTGTTCACAGAGACGTTAGTGATCATGGAGACGTTAGTGATCATGGAGACGTTAGTGATCATGGAGACGTTAGTGATCATGGAGACGTTAGTGATCATGGAGACGTTAGTGATCATGGAGACGTTAGTGATCATGGAGACGTTAGTGATCATGGAGACGTTAGTGATCACGGAGACGTTAGTGATCATGGAGACGTTAGTGATCATGGAGAAGTTAGTGATCATGGAGACGTTAGTGATCACGGAGACGTTAGTGATCATGGAGACGTTAGTGATCATGGAGACGTTAGTGATCATGGAGACGTTAGTGATCATGGAGACGTTAGTGATCATGGAGACGTTAGTGATCATGGGGACGTTAGTGATCATGGAGACGTTAGTGATCATGGAGACGTTAGTGATCACGGAGACGTTAGTGATCATGGAGACGTTAGTGATCATGGAGAAGTTAGTGATCATGGAGACGTTAGTGATCACGGAGACGTTAGTGATCATGGAGACGTTAGTGATCATGGAGATGTCAAAACTGCAGGACCAAAGAATACTATGTTGGTCAGTTTCTCTTCATAAGCTCAACGTGATAATATGCCACAACAATGGAATCCTTAATGTGACAGTAGATGACTTTTCTCGTATTCGTGTATCAGATTTAACATGAACGTCGAGACCAAGAATTCCTACTTCACTTTTAACTAACTGTATAATGAGAACTGTTTTATTTTGTATAAACATGGACGTCATACCATTACACTGATTTTTTGTTGAACAATTTGTGTGCACTATTTAAAGTATTAATTTTACGATTATGCAAAAACAAAAAACAAAACTACTTAACTAGTTAAAATAAATTGACTACTTTCAAGTCATCACATTTTATTTGTTTCCAGAGAAGAAGAGGTGTTACGAGCGAGTTGCTCAAATAATCTTAGTATTAATGTTTATATGTAAGAAGTCCAGACTATGCAAGGCCCGATTTGCCTAACAAGCTGAATGATTATCTTTATTTTCTATAAATTGTTTCCAAGTAGTTTATTTCAATTATTAATATTATATTGTATTGGGAAGATAAATTATTGACTTTGATGCATTAGTTTTCGTTAGGTTAGGTTAGGATAGGTAGGGTTGGCTAGGTTTGGTCATATATCTACATTAGTTTTTACTAAAATTTAAAAAAAAATTAACCCATACATAATGAAATGGATAGTTTTATCATTTCATAAGAAAAAATTAGAAATATATATAAATTATTATTATTGACAAATCTTATCCGGCAAATTAGACAAATCCGGGTTATTAGACAAATCGGGCCTTGCATAGTAGGCCGAGTACTGCATTCTGGCTAATAGGTATCTGTCATATATCTACGTTAGTTTTAACTTAAATTTAAAAAAATTAACTCATACACAATGAAATGGATAGCTTTATCATTTCATAATAAAAAAATGAAAAATATATAGATTCAGGAAAACTTGGCATATTAGGCAAATCGTGCCTTGCATAGTAGGCCAAGTATGCATTCTGGCTACTAGGTACAACATATATAAATATAAATATATTATTATATATGACCGAAAAAGTAAGATTAATAATTTTGACACGAATTTTCTCAATATTTCTTATGTTTCTTTTCACTGTTGATGGTAATTGAAAAATTAATTCTCCAAAATTCCCTTTTATTTCTAGTCTGACGCGACACTTGAACGCGTTTCGTAATAACTTATTACATTTTCAAAGACTTTTTGTTTACACACACACACAACTATAACCTGCAAACACTAAACAGAGTTCTTACTACGCTATGATTTAAACAGCTTTCATTTTATACCCGCATTTTGGGTGAGGTGATATAATACAACAGTTTTTGGATGAGGTGAACAAAACTTTCAACACAGGACAGAACAGAAACAATGGGTATTAATTGGGTAAATTGAAGGTAAGGATGGAAGTAACTGCAAAGGGCCTATTGGCCCATATTTCTTGATGCTTCTATATTGGTGCGGAGTCTTGAAGTGGGTAGAATATAGTTGTGCATTAATTGGCTGTTGATTGCTGGTGTTGACTTCTTGATGTGTAGTGCCTCGCAGATGTCAAGCCGCCTGCTATCGCTGTAACTATCGATGATTTCTGTGTTGTTTGCTAAGATTTCTCTGGTGATGGTCTGGTTGTGGGAAGAGATTATATGTTCCTTAATGGAGCCCTGTTGCTTATGCATCGTTAATCGCCTGGAAAGAGATGTAGTTGTTTTGCCTATATACTGAGTTCTTTGAGGCTTACAGTCCCCAAGTGGGCATTTGAAGGCATAGACTACGTTGGTCTCTTTTAAAGCGTTCTGCTTTGTGTCTGGAGAGTTTCTCATGAGTAGGTTGGCCGTTTTTTTGGTTTTATAGTAAATCGTCAGTTGTATCTTCTGATTTTTGTCTGTAGGGATAACGTTTCTATTAACAATATCTTTCAGGACCCTTTCCTCCGTTTTATGAGCTGTGGAAAGAAGTTCCTGTAAAATAGTCTAATAGGGGGTATAGGTGTTGTATTAGTTGTCTCTTCAGAGGTTGCATGGCGTTTCACCTTCCTTCTTATGTGAAACGCCATGCAACCTCTGAAGAGACAACTAACACAACGAGATAGAGATAGCTAAAATATATGAAATTGAGAAGAGTTTACAGTACCCTAAGATGTTTTTGGATTGTTCGTTTGGGAAAGCTAAACGTACGTTTTATAATAATGTCTCCAAAGCGAAACCAGAAAATAGAAACTCATTGGTGGTATCTTATACGATGGGATTTGAGAAACTTTCCCCAGTTTTTAAGAACCTTAAATTAATATCAATTTGGTGTTCACTAATAATACGATCAAGTCTAATTTAATAAAAAAAACTCCTCTGGTACAGCAGGTTGTGTGTATTCGATTCCCTGCAATGATTGTGAGTCTGTGTACCTTGGACAAACAGGAAAATCCTTACAATTACGTATGTCCCAACATGCTTATAGTATAAGAACTGCCCAAACGTCTAATGCTTTGTATCTACATACAAGTTTGTGTGATCACACTATTAATAGGGATGGAGCGAAAAGCATTGCCAATTGCAATTGCTTTATGGAACGGAATTTAATTGAGTCTGCCCTAATTAGTCAATGTCCAAATCTTCTCAATGTTAGTACTGGTATGTACAAACTTGACCCAGTTTTAAGCTGTACTGTAATAGAGCTCATCGTAATGATGGCATTGAGTTCACTGTATCTTGAGTGTTATCCACCTATGCTTTGGCAGAGCAGTCTATGCTGGCCACACCTGTCAGCCACTGGTGGCTCGATGCAAATATTCAGTGTGAACTGGAGCAGCAAGGTGGAGAGCCACTGCAGTTCGTAGGAGCTATAGTGTGAAACGTGTGCAGGTTGCTGACGCTTCGTATAAGCTACGAAGATAGGCTAAGGGAACTAAATCTCACAACCCTTAAGGATAGAAGGAGCAGAGGAGATATGATCACAACTTACAAGATACTGAAAGGAATAGATAAGGTACACAAGGTTTTGCTTCAGATTGAAAGAAAGCAAGACAAGAGGACTCAGGTGGAAGCTGGAAACGCAAGTGAGCCGAAGGGACGTAAGGAAGTACTCATATCCAGTACGGGTACAGGGTACGAATACTTCCTACGGAGCCAGTGGAATGCTCTGAAGGAAGAAGTTGTGGACGCCAACTTCACCCTCCAAATTATAGGCCCATTTCGACACAGCAATTTAATGTCAGAATAGTAAAATTGAAATGCAGCAGGTACAAGACTAGTAGGCAG